AAGAGGTCCAAAGGGCGGTCTCCATAAGTGGTTCGACCCAATTATCAGAGATCCAGAATCTCGAGAGGTCCCACAACCTATCCATAGGAGCCACAGAAAGAGTTAAGCGTAAAAGCAGCGGGACATGGTCCGAAATACCCCTAGGGAAGATAGATATGTCCTGTACTCTGGCCAGAACAGGGTCACTGACATAAACAAGATCTATACGTGACAGAGCAGTATAAGTGGCTGAGTGGCAAGTAAAAATTCCTAAGCTGAGGATATTCCCATCTCCAGATATCTGTGAGTCCAAAAACAGAGGCCCATCGAGAGAGCAAGGAGTCCGTAGCTGTGTCTGGAGTCAATTTATCCATCCGCGGACACAGGGCCATATTAAAGTCCTCAGCCAGAATGATGTCTGGATAGGAAAAGGTAGAGACCAGTTGGATCAATTTAGTGAGTGAGGCCACTCAAGCTGGAGCTGGGGAAATACATAAGCCTACCACCACCATGGGTACAGAATCAATAACCGCATGAAGTACTACAAACTTGCCCTTGGGGTCCAGGTGTAAGTCCAGCAGAGAAAAAGAAAGGGTTTTACGGATAAGTATGCTAACCCCACAAGCATAGTTAGAGTAGGTAGAATGATAATGGCCCACCCAGGGCTTTTTAAGACTAGGAACTCTACTCCCGGTAAGATGTGTCTCTTGAAAAATACAGATATCAGGGTAGTATGCCTTAAGGAAGTTAAAGACTAGAGATCTTTTAATTTTGGAATTCAGGCCTTGAACATTCCATGAAAGTAAGGTTAACGGAGCCATATAGGGAAAGGAGCAAATATTAAGTTTTGCTGGGTACTGACAGCCAGACCTCACGGAACAACATTAACAGGGTGCACAAGCAATTGCGGTCTACAATAGCATGCGATCACATAAAGGTGTATCCTAGAGAAAGTACATAATACACATTCCTTCAACCGAAAAATAAAGAAGCCCACATACACAAAACAAACCCCTTCCCTCCCCCACCCTGCGCAACCAATCCAACTCAGGTGAGCTTGAATTGCTAAACCAAACTTGGTCATCAACCAGTTGGAGTCATGAACAGTAAACTGACTAGTGGTTAAGAAAAGGCACGGGTATACCAAGTCCATAAACGTAGATGCCACCAAAGGACGAAATATAGAGTCATCACCCAGCCATGGCTGGGGGTATCATCTTGAGTTAACTTCTGCACAGTAAAGAAAAAAAAAAAAAAAAAAAAAAAAAAAAAAAAAAAAAAAAAGGACAGTAGAACAAGTCCAGCAGAACCGCAGGAGAACTGCAGCAACGGCTTAGCATACTAAAGAAGGATATGGAGCACAAAGTCCCTCCAGGACAGGCATCAACAAGTCCGGTGGAAAAGGGTTTAGCTTCCCCACATAGACTAGCACAGACTACCCAGGCCCACAGTAATGCAGAGGGACTGTCCCAAGGGAGACCTCCAAAGCACAAGCCAAGGCCCGCCTCAGCAAAAAAAAAAAAAAAAAAAAATCTATGTTGAGATTAAACAAAAAATAATAGAAAAAAACCTAGGACTATTGAAAAAAGCTGCAAACACCTAGATCTAGACACCACTAGCACAAGGAAACAAAACAAATAAAATGGTGTTTCGCTAACATCAATAGTACTAAGGACACAATAATTCGAAGAGTGGGGAGACAGAAAAAATACCCCCAAAACAGAGGTGATAAGTATAAAGGCCCAAATCCAGACCTAATTAGGTGCAATATGAACTGTGACAGACAACGTGAGTAATAATCAGCAAGTGAACATAAATAATACATAAAAATGTAAAGGCCTGAACCCAGACCAAACTAAGTGCAATAGATTGTGATGAAATACTACGTGAACAATAGTCACCAAGTGAACATAAATAATGTATTCAATATAATAGGTTAACACGTCCTAAATAAAAGTGCACAAAAAACACAGTGCAAAGAAAACTGTGCCAAAATCAAATGGCAAAAAATATGTGCAAAACTAATCATACAAGGTGCACGAAAATATAAATGCATCATAAATAATACATAAAAATGTAAAGGCCTGAAACCAGACCAAACGAAGTGCAATATGGATTGTGATGAAAACGTGCACAATAATCAACTAGTGAACATAAATGATCTATTCAACATAATAGGACTAACACATCCTAAATAAAAGGGCTCAAAAAGCACCGTGCAAAAAAAAAACGGACAATCAAAAAGCAAAAAAATATATGTGCAAAACTAATCAAACAAGGTGCATGAAACTAAAAATGCACCTTATAATCAGGATTGATGCCAGTGAAAAATGCACAGTGGAAATAAACGTGCGTCAATAAGCACAACAAATAATTAAAGCAACATGACCTATAACAAATAATGAGTGACCATCAAAATAAACATAAGTGATCATCAAATAGGCATAAAGTCCATGTAAATATTATTATTATTATTATTTTACAGTATTTATAAAGCGCCAATGGTTCGCTCAGCGCTGTACATTACAAAAGGGGGACAGAACATGTGACAGAACAATAACAATACAATGCAAAACATGAGGGGATCGAGGGCCCTGCTCTTTCGAGGTTACAATCTAGGAGGGAAGGGATGGTGGCACAGGAGGAGAAAGCTGTGGGGGATGGAGTGGTAGGAAGAGTGGAGGAGGTCGGCAAGTTAGCAGGGGGTGGGTAGGCTTCCCTGAAGAGATGGGTTTTCAGGGTGCGCCTTATGGAGAGGAGAGTAGGTGATAATCTGATGGGTTGGGGCAGGGAGTTCCAGAGGATGGGTGACACCTGGAGAAGTCCTGGAGGAGGGCATGGGAGGAGGAGACCAGGGAACTAGAGAGAAGGAGGTCTTGTGAGGAGCGGAGTGTGCGTGCTGGGCGGTACTTGGATATTAGGTCAGTGATGTAGTTCGGGGCAGTATGGTGGACAGCTTTGTACGTCAGTGTTAGGATTTTGAATTTGATCCGTTGCGCAATCGGAAGCTAGTGGAGGGATTGGCAGAGAGGGATGGCGGAAATGGAGCGGTTGGAAAGGTGAATGAGTCTGGGAGCCGTAAATAGACCGCCAACTCCAAACAAACAAAGCAACTGGGTGAAATGGATAAATCCGTCACCGGCTAAAATGCATCCTCACCTCCACGTCAAGACCCCAAGTTGGCCACACAGCTTTCAGGCCTCATGCTCCCAGGGCCCTTAATAGATATCCAAGATGATAGAATCACATCGATCACAGGAATATGGCCTTCCTCACCATATAACCGTAATGATTTCAGTAGTGTTGAACCTGGTAATCCTTTTCACAGGAACATCAGCCAGCTCAGACGCACCCAAGAGGAAAAAGAGAGAGCACTCCCATAGTGTAGTAGTTTTAAAGCAAAAACTTTAATGGAGAAATGCCAAATGAACACTTAGATCACATCAGTTGAAATCAGGCCTCAAACACATGAATTGATATGGGTTTATACTTCCAGGGTGTACCAAAATGGGGGCGACCATCACCACGCTCCACTATGTTGAGATTGTAGTTACAATAGGCAGCAACGACCAGGGTCATCCACGAGGTAGGGTATTGATCCATTGCAGGGTATCTTCAGTGCGATGTGAAGAAGCGAACTACTTCACAATCCTCCACTCGGAGACGAGCTGGAAACAGTATACTATATTTGATATTCTGGGCCAAGAGAAACTGCTTCTGAGAATCCACGGATTAGTCCAGGAAGAACATGAATCACACAGCTTCATACCAAACAGCATCCATCTTTTGGGCCTCACGTTGGACATGATCATAGTCACGGAAATTTAGTAGCCTAAATATGAATGTGTGGGGATGGGTCCCTAGGCCGAAGGCATCCTATGTGCCCGCTCCACTGCAAAGAAGGACGAGAAGGCTGCCTGGGGAAACAGGGTGTGCAGGAGATGCCCAGTAAAGGCCGTGGGGTCAGTACCTTCTGCTGCCTCAGGCAGACCTAGTATCCAGAGGTTGTTATGCCAGTTACGGTTGTCTGTATCCTCTGTCCCCAGACTCAAGATGTTTCACCTTCACCTGAAGGGTGTGCAGGAGAGCGGAATGCTCTCTCCCCAATTCCTCCATGTCCCCCAGCTGCAGCTCAGCCTCCATCATGCGGTGATGGATCATATCAAAGTATTTTCTGATAAGGCCTACAGAGGTAAGGTGCTGTAGGGAGTCAATCTTGATGGTGAGGGTAGTTTGACATCCCAGTATAGCCTGCATCAGAGCCGAGAAGTTGGCCTGCTCCGTGAGAGCCGGGTTTGGGTCATCCATCTGTGTCACCGTATTGGCCGCCACTGCCCCTTGAGCGCCCGTCTTGTCGGAACCAACTTGTAGATTCCGGTAGCAGTGGGCATCAGATTGCTGTCGGCCCTGCGTCATCGGCGGCAGAAGATCGTCCGAAGGGTCCACAGCTAAGGTAAGATACAGACAGGATGTTTTCCCCTCCACAGCTGCGGAGCTCCTTAACTAGGCATCCATCCCAGTCGCCATCTTGCTTCTGGGTGCTTTTTGACATGTGCTTTGGGTCATTGTCCTGCTGAGGACCCACGACCTCTGATGGAGACCCAACTTTCTGGCACTGGGCCTTACATTGCAATCCAGAATTCTGTGATAGCCTTCAGATTTTATAATGCCATGCACACGGTCAATACATCCAGTGCCTGAAGCAGCAAACCAACCCCAAAACATCAGTATGCATCCACCATGTTTGACTGTAGGGACTGTATTCCTTTAACCGCTTGCCTACAGGGCACTTATACCCCCTTCCTGCCCAGGCTAATTTCCAGCTCTCAGCGCTGTCACACTTTGAATGACAATTGCGCGGTCATGCAACACTGTACCCATATGACATTTTTATCATTTTTTTGTGACAGATAGAGGTTTATTTTGGTGGTATTTAATCACCTCTGGGTTTTTATTTTTTCATAAACCAAAAACCACTGAAAATTTTGAAAAAAACACAAAACATTTTTTCTTAGTTTTTGTTGTAAAATTTTGTAAATTTTTCTCCTTCACTGATGTGCGCTAATGAGGCTGCAGTGATGGGCACTGATAGGCTGCACTGATGGACACAGATAGGTGGCACTGATGGGCACTGAGGAGGCACTGGTAGGTGGCACTGATGGGCATTGACAGGCATCACTGATGGACACTGAAAGGCAGCACTGATATTTGGCACTGACTGGCACTGTTAGGCGGCACTGACAGGCGGCACTGATGCACACTGGTAGCACTGATAGGTGGCACTGACTGGCACTGATGAGTGACACTGAAAGGCAGCTCAGATGGGCACTGATATGTGGCATTGATGTGCACTGGTAGGCACTGATATGTGGCACTGTTCAGCACTGACAGCTGGCACTGATGGACACTGACAGGTGGCACTTCTAGGGCCACACTGATCATCAGGGCGCCCTGATGATCAGTGTACATGTCCCCTCCGCAGAATGCCAATTACCGCCTCTCCTCTCTTCTAGAGCTGTCAGCGTGACAGCTCGTGAGGAGAGAAATGCCGATAACCGGCATTTCCCTGTTTACATGTGATCAGCTGTGAATGGACACAGCTGATCACATGACCGAACCGACATCTTCGGCTCATTCTGTAGATCGGTGATCCGCTGTGTCCGAGGGACACAGCGCACCGCCGATCACCGCGCATGTGCGGTGAGAATGGGAGGACGTCATATGACGTCCTCCCAGAACGAGAGAACCACCTTGCGCCCGTCATTGGACTATATGGCGGGCGGGAGGTGGTTAAAGGCCTCATTTCTTTTTTCTGAAAACAGTAGAATGATTTCCTTTACAAAAAATCTAATTTTGTTTCAGCTGTCCACAGCACATTCTCACAAAAGGATTTGGCTTCCTCAGATAAGTTTTGGGAAACTCCAACTTGGCTTTTTTATGTTTGTGTCAGCGGTGGGGTCCTCCTGGGTCTCCAACCATAGCGTCCCTTTTCATTCAAAAGGTGACGTATAGTGTGAGCTGACACAGTTGGACCATGTGCCTGAAGGTCAGATTTAATTTGTCTGGAAGTTGATCAAGGTTCTTTATTAAATCCATTCAAATAATCCTGCGTTGCAATCTTTGATCAAGTTTTTCTCTTTCATTCAAGACCAGGGAGATTAGCTATAGTGCTATGGGCTGTAGCTTCTTGACAATGTCGCGCACAGTGGGCAGAGGAACATTAATATCTCTAGAGTTGGACTTGTAACCTTGAGATTATCCATGCTTTTCCACAATTTTTGTTCTCGAATCCTCAGACAATTGTTTGCTGCTCTCTTTCTCTTCTCCATGCGGCGCGCACACACACACACACACACACACACACACACACACACACACACACACACAACAGAAAGGTTGAGTCAATTATTCATCATTTTAACTGGTTGCCGATATCATTTCTATATTGTCAGCACCTGTTAATTGATACAGGTCAGTTTAATTGCAAATTACAGGAGCATCAAAAACTTGGAATGCAATTATTTCTTACATTTTTGAGAAGCTGCCAATAATTTTCTCCAGTCCATTTTTGTGATTTTGCGTGGAATGTGTCAACTTTGGCTTTTTGTTTCTCTATTTTTTGTGTCATAACAATACAAACAAAAAAATGAGACTACCTAACATTTGTAATAACAACACTTTTCTGAGCAGAGTAGTGCATTATCTGACAGGCATGTAGGGGTATCAATATTTTTGGCCATGACTGTAGAAGGTAAAATGAGTATTGAACCATTTTTCTCTGTAAATATATTTCTAAAGGTGCTATTGGCATTACATTTTCACTACATATCGGTAACAACCCATGCAATCTATACATACAAAGAAACCAAAACAAATAAGAAGTTACATTGTGTGTAATAAAATGGAATGACACAGGGAAAAAGTATTGAACACACCAACTGAAATTTATTTAATACTTCGTACAAAATCTTTTGTTGGTCATGACACCTTTCTAGATGCCTCCTGTATGGAGAAACTAGTTGCATGCATTACTCAGGTGTGATTTTGGCCAATTCTTCCACACAGTCTTCAAATCTTAAAAGATTCCATGGGCCTCTTCTATGAACTCTGATCTTTAGTTCTTTCCAAAGATTTTCTATTGGATTTAATTAGGGGATACTAAAAGTATTAGGACACCCCTCCAAATCATTGGATTCAGGTGTTCCAATCACCTTCATGGCCACAGTTGTATAAAATAAAGCATCTTGGCATGCAGACTGCTTCTACAAACATTTGTGAAAGAATGGGTTGCTCTCAGGAGCTCAGTGAACTCAAGCGTGGTACCGTGATAGGTTACCACCTGTGCAACAAGTCCATCCGTGAAATTTCCTTGCTACTAAATATTCCATGGTCAACTGTTAGTGGTATTATAACAAAGTGGAAGCAACTGGGAACAGCAGCAACTCAGCCACGAAGTGACAGAGTGGGGTCAGCACATGCTGAAGCACACAGAAGTCACCAACTGTCTGCAGAGTCAATAGCTAAAGACCTCCAAATTTCATGTGCCCTTCAGATTAGCACAACAGTGTGTAGAGAACTTCATGAAATGGGTGTTCATGGCCAAGCAGCTACATCCAAGCCTTACATCACCAAATGCAATGCAAAGCGTTGGATGCAGTGGTGTAAAGCATGCTGCCACTGCATGCTCGGATAAGGGTCTGGTATGGATTTTGGGGGGGATCCCCAAGCTGTTTTTTATTTAATTTTGGCGTGGAGTTACCCCTTAATATCCATACCAGACCCGAAGGGCTTTCGGGGAAAGTGACTTCTAAGCTTGTGAACTATAGTGAAGAAAAAAAAAAAGGCTGCGTTTGCATTTGAAAATTGGCGCCGACATACACTTTGTATTGCGAAAAAAATTATTAACAATTGTGTAAACCGAGGCATTATTTTCAATGGATTTTCATTCGTAAATCAAAAATTACGTTAACCGAGGCATTGGTAAAAACCGAGGTACGCCTGTATTAGTATTGCAATCCTTTGTATTGGGATACATAGAACCAACAAACATCTGAACTGGCAACATAGCACAACATTTGTGTCGCATTTGCGATATCTGGCTAGTTACACTGACCTTGCCCAGGGACCTAGGATTGATTCACATCACAGAAATACAGGCAGGTTTCGTGTTCAACAGCTCCGTGGATTAGTGGTTAGCACTAATGTCTCACAACGCTAGGGTTGTTGGTTTGAATCCCAACCACAGCAATGAATTTGCATGATCTCTGTGTGACTACCCTAACATACATGTGCTGGTGGCAGCATCTTTGCTTTCTGTTTAAATGATCCCTAGAATGTGAATTAGAATGAGGCCTTGTCTGTTCAAACACCTTTAAAGTAGCACCTTATGTGAATGTCAAACCATGGGATGAGATAAGGGCCTGGACTAATGATTGATTGGATAATGCTGGTTTGCACTCCACATCCTTTGGGAAAGTTTGTCAAACCATGAGAAGAGTGTTTTCTGTAGATTTACCAATGAGCTATTGCATTTTCAATTGTGTTTTGCATTGCGATTTCTATTGTAGTCTATATGTGAAATCGCTACAAAATGCTGAAAAAGTTAGACGAGAACTACTTTTGAAATTGTGCTGCAGCAAATCGCTTACATTAAGACACTCACACATCCACATTCATTAGATCGGATATCAGGTACAATTTCAATTCCCAAATCGCACCTGAAATCGTGCACCCTGGATGCGACTTGGCATGCGACTTGCAAATTGTATGCCAAGTCGCACCCTATTGTCTGCTATTAGAGCAGTCACATGGGTGCGTTTCCGACACTGATTTCTAAAGTAGTACATGTACTACTTTTGTGACGATTTGTATAGATATCTGTGTCAGATGTCTTGCAAATCGTAAGGAAATCAGCATCTTCACAGTGGTGGGTGTGGCCTACCTTATATATAGAGATGCAGTTGTGGCTGATTTTTGCCTGGTATAGGCACATTATTTCTTAAGTCCTTGTCTGTGGTGGTTTGGGGAGGAAGAGATATTGTGGTGAATTGCCCCAGGTCACACTCACGCTGTGTTTTGATGTGGGCTGTAAATGTTTTGCATGTTCTTCCTTCTAAGGTGTTTGTGTGTTATTGTACAATGATTGTGTTTATTACCTTTGCATTGTAATCCTAACACATGTCCATTGCTCTGCTCTTCCAAGTTTGCTTTATTTAGAATGAAATGCAGTTTTCAGACAAACATGGTGAGAAATGTATGTGTGGGGGATTTGGGGAGGGGGGAAGTGTTTATATTTTGGCATGTATGTATTTTTATATTGATATTTCGATCTGCAGCTTCTGTGAATAAGCCCAAGTGATTCATATTAACCATTTGTTTCCTGCTGTAACCTGTGAAAGCACAGTTCATTATAAGTATAATCTTTTAGATTGTAAGCTCTTATGAGCAGGACCGTTCTATTTTAGCAACATCAATCCTGCTTTTTTTTTTTTTTTTTTCACACCAAGATATTGAATGTAGCTTTTTGTTGCTGTCCAAATAAATGTGGAATGTGTATTTGATCAATAAACATTTGTACTATGTATTTTTTGGGGGGGATTATTTCATGTTCTAGTTGTATGTTGCACAGTGGCTAAATGGTTAGCACTTCCACCTGACAGTACTACTAGGGTCGTTGGTTTGAATCCCAGCCATGGCACCTCCTGCCTGGAGGTTGCATGTTCTCCCTGTGCCTGTTTCCTCCCACACTCTAAAGACATGCTGGTAGGTTAATTGGATCCTGTCAAAATTGGCCCTAGTATATGTATGAATGTAAGTTAGGGCTCTTAGTATGCCCCTTGAGGGTTAGGGACTGATGTGAATTTACCACATCTATATGTAAAGCGCTGCGTAAATTAACAGCGCTATATAAGTATCTGAAATGTACTAGCAGCCCTAACACTTAATTTTGCTAGCTATATAATATGCCCAAATCTTCCTTGTTAGAGCGCACATGTGCAAGTATGTCCAAAATAACAAACCAAAAGCCCCCTATTGCATGACAAGACCATGTTATGTACCAATGAATAGGTCATGTTCAATGTGCAGCTAGCTATTCTTTTTCTACAATCCTCTTAACAGTAATAAATTGGGCCCCCAATTTATGTTGAGTTTGGGCCTTTACTGGCAAATATATATTCGCCAATGTCATATACACACAGTATAGCTGCAAGCATACATTCACCAATGCCAAATCTACAATAGAACTGCAAACATATATTTGCGAATGTCATATACACAATGGAGCCGCATGTAAAATTGCTATGGTGCACAAATAAATGCCAAGACGGCTGTTGGAGGAGGCGCTAGAGCAGCTGTCATACCGGAAATACGTCATGACGTTTGCGGAAGGACGTTTGCACACATCCGGAAGTGTGAGTGGATGGGAGTGTAGTTAGGGGAGTTTAGTGGTAATTTGCAAGTCTATTTTT